AACTACTAATTCAAGAATCAGTTTGATGACCGATTAAAAATAATGTGTTTATACGTTATAAAGATTCAACTGTTAAATATCATAGTTTTTGAGGGTGGGACTGGAAATTTAGACTATATTAAAGATTTGCATTCATAGTAGAACATTATATACTTTAAGTAAACCAACAGAAAAAGATTGTTTAAAATTTTCAAGTTCATTTTAGAACGAACTGTTTGCTCCGCCTCCCAGTTAACTGAGAATTTCAAGAAGTAGAAACATATTAAATAAATAATAAGTGAAGTTAAATATATCCCACAGTGATTTTAAAAAACATTACACAAACTTCACGGATGCCAATATACTTCTAACAACCTTACTAGGAATTTCCTAAAACTGATATTGTACGTTGAAATAGGTTTATCTATCTATCTATTCTATTCTATATTCTATTCTATACTATTATAAAGAAGAGGGGGTGTCTGTGTGTGTGTTTGTATGAGCTAATCTCAAAAAATACTGATCCGACTATGCTCAAATTGCACACAAATGAAGCTACAGCTCCTACCCTAGTAGCACAAATATATATTAAATATAGTACAAACCTAGTAAGTTTAAAAATGTAAACAAGCAGAACTAACTGTCAAATTGATTTTGATTTCTCAATTCAACACAGCTGGTTCAAACCTCATTAAATACTGCACGAATATTAGAACAGAGAGGGTAAGGATTATAAATTTAAAATAATGATGTCACTAGCCTGAATTTATTTAACATTACCTAAAGGAGCTGTCAAACAATATGTTAATGTAATTTCATTATTATAGGATTGTTTCAGTTACAGTACTTCATTTGTTTATGATCTAACTATACTGAGTCTGTTATAATATTTGTGAAATGTTGTAATATTATTTATTTATTTTTATAATAATTCATTTTAAAATAAATCATTCAATGGATATAGGAAATAATCAACATTCTATATTGCCCTATCAACCTAGGCCCTTATCCTGAGTTATGGGGTATATTCTTTTGATTTATTTGTTTGTAAACAGTAATATAATCCCCCTGCCCCAGCAAACCTATAGACTGAGCCAATTCCCGTTTGCCTGATTATAATTTCACTAAAATATGTTAGAAAATTGCCCTATTAACATGTCTGGAACTATTGTGATAGGTTTTCGTTTACAGTGCATACCATTAAACACATTCTTTTACTATAGGTATATGTGTGCCACACTATAGGATACCGTGTAAATTAAAAGACCATATTTTCTTAGACCGTTTCCTCTCCCATCACTGCAATGATCATGTTCTACTTATATGCCAACCCCGTACGAAGGTCGGGTATTCTTCTAGTAATTAATAAAGTTGAGAATACTAAAGGTTCTACAAAACAAAACATTGAATAATAAAAATACATTTGTATGAAAGTAACAGATAGATTGACAACATTGTAAAACGATCGTATAATATCTAACAATATCAAATTATTTACAGTATCACGGTTACAACTTTTAAACTACTTTTGTTATGACTCAATGTTAACCTCTTTAGGACCTTTCATTTTATGCTTTTGTTAGTGGGGACTGGTTAAAACACCACAGTAGGTTTTACAAATATGATTGTGAGATGATATTATAATCTGAACTAGATTATGCGTGTTGATAATAATATGTATTTAAATTTAAGTACTTTAATTGATTCGGTTATATGTTTACCTCATATAACATTTGACCATGGATTGAAACATTAGATGTCTTTGGAATACTCTGAGAGTGAGAAGCAAAACATAACTTTCAGCAATGATGCATCGAAATCTACCTTTACTGACTGATTCAGAAATGTAATTGCAAAATATTTTGTCAACATGACTAAAATGTTAAAAAAAATAGGTGTATCAGCACGAAATAGTTTGTAAGATAAAAAAAGCAGTCTAGGACAACTTATATAGCGTTCTAACCTCAAACATTGTTATCGTTTCAGTGTACAAATTCAATTGATACAAAATAACTACGTTACCAATTTATGTTTGTAAACAAAAATCAATTTTTTAATGGTTGCGTAATAGCTATTTACATTACAAGTGTAGTAAGAGCGTTTTTACTTCACGCAGGTGAATGTTGTGCAACGAGCGGAAGCGAGTTGCATAATTCACCTAAGTGATGTAAACAGCACGCTCTTGCGTAACGTGTAACGTACAAGATTTTACCTGACCCGACAATAAACATGGGTTTACGTACAATATTTTTCATTATCCATTTCACTCATCTTCTATCAGTAACGTTCTTTTACTAACAAAAGCTAGGTTAGGTAGGAAAATACTTTAAAGCATAATAATAACATTCAAACGCACAGCTGATTTCTAGCGTTGAACATCGTTGGCTCCATAGAGTTATATTTTTTAAGTTAAGCACTCAATGTTATTTAAATGGGTTTCTTTACATCACCGAGTGAGTTTTTGATACTTTACATCACTCGAGAAGTAAGGAAGTTGTAGGCCTATACATCACGCTTGGGATAGGGAAGTTTAACATGGCGGGTTAGGTAAATCAATTTAAATTATTATTTACTACACAAATCTATATATTAATACGCAAGCAGTTTTCTTTTCACAGTCATAGCTCGATAACTGCTTGATGGACTTTAACGTTTGAGGTATCAAATTAAAGGTATTTTCATGTAGATGTGCAAATACGTCTCAGAATATTGAGAAAGAGCATCGCTTAAGTACAGTTAAAGGCTAAAGTTTGGAAGGTGGCACCATCTGTTGACATTTTATTAAACTCATTTCCCTTTGTTTACAAATAACATATGGACGTAGTTTGAAATAGTTTTTAAGGTTAACCACAGACTGCAGGACTTAAAACTTCCAGAGCAAAGCTGGAATTTATATTTTGTTTCAATCTGTTAACTAAGTCTGGTTCATAATGAAGAGACTAGACAACAAAGTGTTTAAGAATAAATATTTAATTCTTTTTAGTTTTTAAGTTTGACCATAGACTCCAGGACTTATTTATTCCAGGGCAAAGCCGGAATTCTAGATTTTTATCTAAACATCTGTTAACTATATCTGTTTCTTAAATAAAGAGTTTCCTATCAAGACTTGACAACAAAGTGTTTGTAAATAGGTGAATGTATTTACCTTACATAATATTTTACTGAATTATCGTGTTGTTTTGGTTACAGTTTGGTGTGACGAAATGAATGTTTGAAAGTGATTATTTCCAGTGCAGTTACATCACAATATCATGTAATTTACAATGTGTATAACAATTCCGTTGTAGTGTTTTCTGTTGTTTTGTTAACTTTCGTAATTCATCTAAATTTAAAATAATATGCTACCAGTAAGACGAAGACTGTGAGTGGCTGGAGGAAACGCGAACGTGGCCGCTTGCATCAATCTCCCAATGTATCATTTGAAGATTACAGAGTTTCAACCATCGTGTGGGATACGTCTAACATTGACAATTGAACTTTAAATGTTTACATTGTGGTGGCTTACATTTTAAGCAAAAAAAAAGAGAGTCTGGCCGATGCAGTTCAATTGTTACTCTTTGTTGCCATAAATGAGAGAACCGTTTACCTCATTTGCGGAATTCACCATACTTTCAGGAGCTTATTGGAAACTCCCAATCTGAAATCAGGGCTGTGAGGCTTGGATCTAGAAATTATTAGGATAAAATTTGTCAATTCAATTCCGCCTTTGCCATGGTCAGCTCTGAAGCTCATTTAGATGAGAGGATCATACCTAGGGGATCTACAATTTCAAGATCCATGACACTTGAAAGGAAAGATTCAATGATAAAATATGTGGGAAATAGGGTCACATTGCCAACCCATTTGCCCCATCTTTTAAAACTGTGGCAGAAATGTGTAGGGACGAGAGCTCCGAGGAGTTATGGGAGATTCTTATGTACATAATAAGAGACAAAATAATTGGCTTTCCTCGCTACAATGATGCAACCTGTATAAATGTCGCCGCTATTTTTAAAGCTGAAAACATAGGACCACCAGACAAAAAGCATCAGTCATAGACTAGAATGACTCTTTGATTGAGGTCTTGCTGTTTATGTTTTTAGTTGTTTATTTTTTTATTACAAGTTGAAGTTTTGCTCGATTTCGAGCAACAGGTTATCTAGTTATTTGTAATGTAAAACATTGTTCACCACTCGGAGCAAAAGTATATTATTTATGGTACTTAAATTGTTTTATAGTACGTGGCAGTATAGTATTATTAGTTTATTAGTTGCTTGTTGCACTGTTCTACACACTGCTCAAGCTCTACAGCTCATTAAGTGGCATCCTGTCCACACACTGTTGATATATACTGAATTGTGGCATGGTGCCACTATTTCGAGTGTAGGCTGGCGCGAGAATTGGCAACGTAGCATTAGGAAAGTTATAGTTCCGGCGGACGGCGCGAGACGCGCTAGCTACCTGTATGGTTTCGTGTTCCACAATTCGGTGTGTACCTCCACTACTTAAACTCACATCAACGAGTTCAAAAATACTCAATTGTGGCATGTGATGTTTAAACGACGTAATAATGCTGGAAAACCTCAAAAATGATCGAATTAGCTGTGGCACCCTGAAAAAGGTGCCACAATTTTTGAAGGTGCCACAGTACGGCCGTGTGCCTGTGAAGGATGCCACTATTCGGTGAATACAAACACACACACACACACACACACACACACAGACAGACATCACTTTGAAAACCACTTTTGTTGTACTGAGAGGGACTCAAAACGGATATACCCACTCAAAACTGAAACGTTGTAGCTATTTGTAATAATATATGTGGTAATGTAATACTTAAACTGTAAGTACAGTAAATCTAATGATGAAGTCCTCAGACAAAGAAGAATGATGGTAAAGACTAACAAAATTGTATTTGCATAATGAATAATAATATTTAAAGAAACTACCCTGCACACCTCACAAGATCTCAGTTACATTAAGTTGAACTATCGACGACATAACTTATAGATTAACTGACCTGTAGTGTGTCTGTCTAGGTATGGGTCGATATTCCATCCCCACGTGCCAGCCTAGGAGAGAGGTTGGGGAGGTGTGTCGACCCCTGAGCGAACCCGTCAACGTGACCCTGGAGTACCCGGACGGCGCCTCCGTGGATCTGTCAGGAGTGTTCTACATCATGTGTCCGTGCCAGGGAGGTCTGGGCTGTGGCAACGACATGGAGTGTGTAGAACACGACTTTGCCAGCAACCACGTCGACCAACCATACGACTACAGCGAGGACAGCAACTACCAATACTGACCACTCACCAGCGGGGAGCGGCTGTAAATGCTGGACTGAACATGAAACGTGAAATCACAGCTGTGCTCGTCAGATATCAACGTATCTATGTGTTAAAGGGGAGGACGGGTTTCCTTATTTGTGATTGTTCAACAAATATGCACATGTAATGATGTTAAACATATTGTGTCCTACAAAATCCCTTTAAATTGCTAAAATAATAGTTATATTCGAATCTACAGCATTTTGGTAGGTACCTAGGTTTCAACTACTAAAAATATTGTGAACAATACTCAGTATTGTTCAACTACTAAACAATACTGGGTTTGGCCGTTTAGCGTCAAAACCGTTTCTGTACCTTTTCTTGCTGTAAGTTCCTGTTTGACTGTTAACATGTACTGTACCTGATTGCATGTCTTCAGAGATTCGTCATATTTAGGCTATGTGTACTTATTGTCTATGTTAGTTTGACGTGATAACATGTGTTAACGACATTAAAGGTTGACACATTTGTGTTAAGGACATTAAATAATTTTTATTTCTATTAATCCTTGACTATGAACCTATTGTGAAGCAAATCTAAATTGGTAAAGACGCTCAAGTGATTTTAAACTGATACTGAGACTGTAAACATTCTACTAATTACGTCGTGTATATTAGAAATTTGTATCTTTTCTAAAAATAAACAACATTATTTAACTCATAAACACAAATAAACAATGCAGTGAAGTTTTTAATCCGCTACAATAGTTTTAAAATATATAATTCCCGGGCGAACATTGATCACTTTCATATCTAGCAAATAAAACTAAACGTCTTCCATTCTTGAGGAAATCTAATGAATATTTTAGATACAGGACATGTTATGTTGTTAATTTGTTCATCGTTATTTGGTTCGTATGGTCCAGATGATTTATGATGACCAAATGACTTTAATGGGTTTGGACCACATTCCCTTGTAAGTTTTAATGGTTTTAAGTTGACTTATTAAAAATGCCACCAGCATAGGAAAAAAAGAAACAATGATTTAACTAATTTTTGCACGACATCTAGGTTATTAGTAAATGTGGTAGGACCTACTATGCGATCAGTAATAAGACCAAGTTTTGTTCCTTGCTATCCAGTTAAAAGGGATAGCGGAAAACAAATCCGTTGAAAGAAAGCCGCTCCCAGACGGCTGTAAAGTATAAACCGAGGAAAGCGTTTACTGCAATCTCGTAAAGAAGCGCCTGTCGACCTCTATAAAACCTACTGCAGCATTGTCTGCGCATCAGATCAGGTGAACGTACTGTGGCTGTGTGTTGGGGTAGATGAATGGACATGTGTGTAAAATGTCACAGTTTCAATCAGTGTTCGTACAGCTTAACGTAAACAAGTTAGGCTTATTATAAATGCTAAAGAATAATGTTTGTGCTGGATGTACTGAAATTAACCTTTAATGATAACAAAATTCTAAAGAGGTTTAAATAATCAATCCAGGTCACTTAGATCAAAACAATGTATTTATAGTGGTTTTCAGACAGAGTACAATTAAAAGTGTTTGTGTGGCGGTATTAAACAAGTGGGAACGATATTTCAAAAGTTTGTAATATATTCAGTATAATGTATGTAATATATATATATAAAAAAAAAAAAAACATTTGGTACGCTAAACATAAGCACTTTTATCTGTTCTCAATTGGGGTTTAGTGTGTTTTGTGCGAATTAATTCAATGTTCTGTATGTTCAATTTGTTCCTTGATATGCAATTTTCCGGTTGATAAAAATGTAATGAAAATTTTTAATTCTATATTAGGCAAATATAAAAATACCCCCGCCGCAGCAAACCTGCAGACTAAGCGAATTTCCATTTGACTGATTGGATTTACACTGAAATGTCTACTTAAAAATATAACATTTATTCCCGATTTAAATAGAATTAGTTTAACAAGTACTTAGGTTTGCTGCATCAGGGAGGGTAAAATTGTTTTTTTTGTAAAATGTTAATAGTTAGTAAGAAATAAAAACATTTTCCAAATTTGATCAAAATATGTTCATAAACAAGCAAACTACAACCGTTTACTTATTCTCCATAAGAATAACATGGGAATTTTAAATTTACAATTTTTTTGAATTTTCTCCGTAACCGTTAGGCGCATAATAACGCTTCAATATACTAAATTATTTGTTTTTTTAAGCTCTACAAAATGGTTGGGAAATAAATTGCAAAATTTTAAGTTTTTTGGGTCAAAAATGGGAAAAACCTATTTTTACCCCATAAAACCCCCCGTAAACACCCGTTCCCATGGTCCGATCATGCTGGATCGCGAACTCGTTCGAATAAACGTAGGTTTACACGTTTGTACCAAATTTCATCAAAATCGGATCATTTTTGCTTGAGTTATCGTGCTGACGGACACATATATATATATATATATATAAATATATATATATATATATATATGAATTTGAACGGATGGTGTTTTTGGCCTCTAGGGACCTCAAAACGAAAAAAAAAATCAGTCCCGCGTCCAGGTCTTACCATGAGTACTACGGTAATAGCTTATTCCCTATATGGGAAATTCGCTAAAAAACTATCACATAAATAAATTTTCAAGCACAACGTAGATCTGATCGTTGGGTAGTCCGCTCACCAATTCATGGTTATATATATGGTTATGTCAATTATGGTTAATCTTTGTAATAGCCTATTTTGTTTATATTGAAGGGACAAAACGATACTTTTATCACCTATACACACAAGTTAATGGATTGATTGAACATACGCAGGTTCCACTTCTTAATAGAGTTGGAGATTTCATCCTTAGTTAGCGTATTAAAAGTCAAGGTATGCTATGTCCTGCTATGCTTGTTTAACGTCTGTATATAGCTTCTTTCTTTTTCATTACCTTCAAAAGTTGTTATGGCCAAAATTACGATTTTTCCATATACAACCGAATAATTATTATTCCATCCATCTATTTTTCTATCCATCTATTTTGTGAGACTAAAAAACTGTAATAAATCATCATATCGTTTAAGCTTCGTGGGTAATTGTTTAGGTCGGAATTAATTAATGAGCGCCAAGCCATAGTTCCGTAAATACTGTTCGTTTTAAAAGAGTTGTTTTCTTTTATCAAATAATGCCCTAATGTTGCATTTGTTTTTTTGTTTGATTGACGTGAACTCACTTTAGATGTAATAAGTTTAATAGTGTAGTTAAATGTATACGTTAATAGTTTCAAGGTGAAATATAAATACCCTTAAGAGGTTGGAAATTGTCCATGACTTGAATTGTCACCAGAGTGAAAAAGATATAAAATTTATCAATCCAAAATAAAATTGAAGACTTATTTGTTTTCAATACAGTACGTTCTGTTTAACGCAAATCAAAAACCATATACTTCACCACAGGTTTGGGAAATCAGGTAAATGCTTTCACCAACTTAAGTCTGACAAACCGTATCTTTGAAAAAGAAGGATTGAGCAAATCCTTGGTCTTCGAATCCACGATCCTGTCGCCGTTGTGTTATCTAGACAAAGCGACCAAACGTCGTTCAACGTGCGATAAGCCACACTTGAGCTGTGGACCATTTGAGGTGGATTTTCACCTCGTCTAATCTTAGAAAAAATCCTCGTCTGGACATAATATTGTGGATAAATGGCAGTATTTAAGCAGTTAAAATCGCCTGCTTTATACTGAAAATATTTCTAAAGGCAATGGAAACATGGACACAATGGAAAAATGTATCATAAACATAACCAAATGACGCCACTTTCAAATACTATACTAATTAGAATTATTGATGAACTATAAATGTCCCAACGAAATATATATTTAAAAAAATACAAGCTCCTTAGTACTCAAATGGAATACAGCAGAGCCAAATTTAAGAATGATACAATGTAGAAACCCCGGAATGAGCATCCTACACAACCAGTATGTTAATTTATCCTTAATGGGTGAAAAATTCAGAAAATTGTCAAGGAGTGTCAAATTCTGTTTTGAACTCGGAGCAAATACTTTAAAACTTATGTTTTACTCATTAAACAAAGCTAAATGTTAGTTTTGACAATTTAACTCTTTTATCGCAGTTCGATGAATTACCGTAAGACTTGAACGTAACCGTAGATTAGGACGGGTTTCACCTAGTTGTTTATTATTTTAAAACTATGTTTATACTGCACCCAAGGGAAGCCTAACCTTATAAGTCTGCTTGCTTCTGACAACCGGTCTGCTTTTGCATATACTTAACCTTTAATTCATATGTTATTAGTAATGCGAAATCTAATCCTAAACGCAATGCAAGATGAATGACAGTAACGAGATTATTGTTTGCCAGCTTTCATATCAACCTCGTCCGAGCAGTTCGATTGAAGAGCTTTTAATGACGCATTCCGCAGAGATCGCTTTTGTATAAATACACTAACAGACATTTGAGCAACGACGATGAAAACACAGATTTCTCTGTGGAGCAAAAATAACTCCATTCCTGAGCACTGGTTTGAACCATGCACATACATAAAATGATAAATGCCTTTTAAGTCCCCAAATTGGGCTATCAAAGGTTGCTTGTTTTGAAGACACATTTTTATAACATTGTTATAAATATATTACAAAGAAGCCGAGCATTGCTAGTGGTGTTCAATTTGCCTGGGAGGTTGAAAAAATAAAACTTACTCATGTATGTACAGATTTTGTTTTTATTACAAACAGTAATATTATAAAATACAATCCAAAACATTTCATTGAAAGCCTTGGTAAATAAGCATGCATCACCGACACAGCTAAGAAAAATACCTTGCATACTAGAACAGACAAGTATTCGTGTAAAAATACGAAAATAAAAAATTCTGCATTTAAAAACAAAATACCAGAATATCTTTTTAAAGCTGAGCCATTAAATACATGGATGTTGATCTCGTGCCATATTTCGACATGGGTTCTGTGAACTGTTTGACCAAGCCAATAGAAGCATTCATGAAGCAGGTTTTGTGCCATGCCTACAGAGAATGCAGTTTTATTTGAAACCATTTAATTTGAAGGATAAATCCACTCTGGTAATTGCAATGTATAAACAATGTAATGCAAGACAAAATTGTAATAAAAACTTTACATAAACACTCTGGTTATTATTATTATAAATACTCTAAGACATGGTTTAGGCTGGATGATATAGTTTAAAAATCAAAATTTTAAGAAAAGCACATGTAGAGATACCTCGAAAATAACTTTTTGGGTTCAGGGGGGCCCAAAACGGATATTTACACCCCAAAATTAAACTCTGAAATGTTAACGAAAACAATACTTCTCCATATACTATGTATAGGAGGGAGGGAGTAAAAGAGTATATAAGATTTATCTCATAAACCTCAAGTAGTTGATAGTCTATCTACGTGCGATCAGTTGCACATCAAGGTTTATAATATTGTGAGTTTAGTATTCTACGCCGCGTTCTCTTGATGTATCAAGTGTGGTTAGGTTAAAGAGATTTTGATGCCAACCCTTTCCAAGAATATATTAAGGGTTAAGTGTCAACAGGTTATTGTTAAGCTAAGTCTCAATACAAGGCAAATCCCTGCCCTTGTGTCCGAAACACCAAAATATTATTAGTTAAATAAGAGAAATAATACCGTCCACACGCAAATAATTCATTAAACACGATTTGACTAAGGATTTGATGTAGGACGGAGGAGAACACTCTGAAAACACTGGTTATTTTTTTTATTTATCTCGGATTATTCTGTATATTTATCAGCAATGTACGTGTTCACCTAATGGGTCTGATGATGATTGTAGTATCCAATCTAAATTGACCACCATTTACCATCTTTTATATTTTTTTCCCTTCTTGTGGGTTAAAAGTATAAGTCAAGTGTAAATAAATGTTTCAATGTTTGTTGGACGTATATTTTATTTACTCTTTTTATTTATAATATTAGTTTAATAGGATGGGGGGTGTTGAAAACGATACAATGAGCAAAGTAAACAATAAACATGGAAAATAAATTTTTAATGCACCGAGGAATTACGTTTGAGTATATATAACATTTCCTTTTATTAATACAGCTAGACATTCCATTTCCATATATAGGTTCTTGC